CGGTGGCCACGGAGCTGCTCTCTGCGCCTCTCTCTGGCCGGGGACTCGCCCTGGGCTAAGGAGGAGGCTGGAGGGGGCAGCGTGTGGGGCAGGCTGGCGCATCTCCCTGCGGTCCCCCTTTTGTTCCACCCAAAAATGCGTGTTGCTCAGGTATGCCGTGTGTTTCCACTGTGTTGTTAGGCTGGAAAGCTGTTTCCCATTGGCGATACGGCTGCGAGCTGCCTCACGGAGGTTTTACCCAGGGTGAGTTGGTTTTTTAGACGCTCCTTGTGAAGCCTTTGTAGTAATTTCCCATTAGTGATTGTGCTCTGAGACAGGCCCTAAAAAAAAAATAAAGCAGTTAAACCTTGGTTATTTTTTTCTACATCTCTTCTCTTTAGAAAATACTATTTTTTTTTCAATGTTAGATTTTGTCACATGGGATCATAGAGATTAGCTAGTAGGACTGTAAAAGAATTCAGGCAGTTCTTTTTCATACTGGGTGTTTTGCAAAATTAACCATGCCTGCTTAGATGGGACTAAATAGAACTGTTTTAGATGGTTTTTCTTTAGTAATACAATTATAGTGATTATTATTAGGAATTATTTCTTTCTAGTAGGGCTCCTTCTTCCTTATCAAGGATGCTTCTCAGAACTGTGCTTCCCACAGGCCTTTCCCCATGCCCCCTGAAGACTCAGAGGGTACTGAGACACAAAAGGATCCCTTACATAGCAGCTCTCCCTTTAAATGGGCAGTCGAAGCGGTGGTTAACATAGTTTCTGTAATTGCTTCATTGATTCTGGAATTGTTGTGAATCAGGTTAAAGGTTTCTGAAGTTGATAAATGTAGCATCTAATTTTCATGAAGTATATGTGAAGAAGCTGTTACCCATCTTCAGAGTGGAACCATATAGTTGAAACTTAGCAACTCTCATTACTTCTGTTGTTGGCTTCGTAAAATTTAGGCTGCTCTATGTTGACCTTATGCTCAGAGTACCAGCATCTGCAGGAATGTACGCATCTGTTGCAGCCCTGAAGCACCCTCATATTTTGTTCTTACCTCTCTTGAATCACACTGAAATGCCAGAATTACATTTTCTTTTAATTAATATTGTGTGAATATCTGTTGAAAATTGTTTTTGCTTTGCCTTATATATAGCCCATTACTCCAACTACTGTGCGAAAGTTTCGAAATACAACAAATCCAGGTCCTGGTGTTGAAAGAATATTTTACGGCAGAGCGGGTGATCCTGACATTGCAGCTTACTTGACACATGGCATAGAGTCTCGTGCTTCACTCAGTGTAAGAATGGGACTCGTTTACTTTTGTTTAAGAATGTCCTTAAGAGCAACTGATTTCTTCTTAGTCAGGGATAAAGGTACATACCTGAGTGATTTTCACTGCAGTATTTCAACACTGTTGTAGATTATCTGAATTCTGAAGGTCAGTTCATAGGATTTGATTAGCATGATTGAAGTAGGAAAACACTTGAAGTTCAGTGGCTTTTATCAAATAACTTTTGCAATGACTACTGAATTATTAATTTCATTTCAACTTTTAAGTTAATGAACATCTTCTACCCACTCATTTTGCTGCTTTCTTCTTTACTAAGCACAGAGGTAAAACCTGTTGAGCTCTTAGCAAGAGAACTGCTATCTCAGAAGATGCTTTTAGTTCAGTATAATTATTATGTACTCTTTCTTACCTTTGAGTTGAGACAGATTTTGTTAGCTAAAAAAGTTGTATTTTGGGTATGTCAGACTACTTTGTGTGTATTCTTTACTGCACAAATTATGATTACATGTAATCAACCTCGGAGATCATTGGTGATTTATCACATAATTATTTTTCAAATCTCTAAAAATAACAGTTGTATTAGTAAATACACTTTTATGATGCATTTCATCAGCTGGGCTTGTAAATAGTTTTGAATTTTAAAAATGAAGAAGTTGATGCAAAGAGGAGTTCAGGTTGAAACTATAGTCGTAGTATTAGAGGATGTTGAGTAGGACAGTGGCATATCCAAAATGACAAAAAATATCAGGTTCTTGGTGTCCCTCCTCAGAAGTTTTGTGTTGAAGCGATTGACTTGTTTAGCCTGTGCCATCTGTTGAAGACTGTTTCACTTTGCATTGTTAATTAAATATTAACTGAAGGAAGAATTGGAGTCTTAGTGAGTTCTGTAAATGTAGGTCTGGATCAGTTGTGTTTGCTCCTACTGTTTTCAGTATTTATTTATATAACATTCAATAAGTGTCTAATAATAAATCCTTTCTAGAGTCTCCACTGCTTTGATGGGTAGCCTGAAAAATCAAATTATTTGTGAAGATCAAAATATCCTGTTTTGACATCTTTGAAACTTTTTTTTTTTTTGAGATTTTTGTTTTCCCCCCGAGGTTGGCCCAGTTGTACAAGTAACTTCTGTTGACCCAAGCCCAATGTGTACACTGAGAAAAAAAAAAATAATTGTTGAACCTAGTACTAAGCTTCAAAAACCCTGCTGAAGTAATTTCTCTTGCTATGTCATTTTAGGATGTAATATTAGTGTATATCTTGAAATACTGTCTTTAACTTCTCCATCAGCAGAATTGAGAGTAGCTGTTTAGAGAACAGATAGTCTTAACTGCTAAACAATAGATATTTTTATTCATAAGCACCAGGAGACTTCATTCCAAAAATGTTATAACTATAATTTTCACACTTAAGTTTTGGTCATATTATAATTTGACTAAGAGCAGAAAGGCTGCATTCTGAAATTTTATAAATTAGCAAGTGGAAAAACTCACATAAAAATAAAAAGTTCCGTCTCACAGTATGTATTTTGTTTAGCTGGAGATTTAGCAGAGCATTGATTACTAGTGGTCTTCTTTCAAAATGCAGTTTTGGTTTGCAACTTGTTAGGTAAAATTATTTCATTGTAATTGTGTAAGATCTCATTAGAGCACTAATGGTGAAACTTTTGTTAGTGTGTGTGTGTGAGAGGGTAGCTACGTTGGTGTGTGAATGATTAAAATTTGCTGGTTTTCCTGCCTCTTGTGTCATTTGTGATGTCTTTAGGCAGCTTCATTGATAAATCCACTTCCAAAAAGTTATTTTCAACAAAAAATACAAGACAAAAAAGAAGCAATCTACTTTAGTAATCGTCAAGCTCCCTTGGGCACATCACACGATCAGTCTTCTATGCTACCTAAGGGCTTGGATATAATTAATACTACATTTGGAACCAAAGTGATCCGAGGTAGGAAAATTTAGTGTTAAAACAAATTTCTTCTAAATACAAGGTAATCTACAATTTAATATCTAGCACGTATTCTATGCTTCCAACAATTCCAGCTTAATAGAAGAGTTGTTATTATTATAGCAGTTATTGAAAGGCATAAAATTGTACTTGTATTTTTCAGTTATGATGAACAAACAAGCAACTGAGAACATTTGGTAACTAGTTGGGCTTTTGACTCTGTTCCAGATCTGTCTGTAGATTTCCCTGGAGAATTGTTTGGGTAGCTGGCAACTTACCTTCCTTTTCCCAACTATTTTAATAGGTCTAATGAAAGATAACGCCTTGACCTGTGAATCTTTCCTCCATCGACTGGAGCAAATCACATATGTGTTGACCATGTAACTCTCTTGCAACAGTTATGTTAGTTGCAGTTTCTGTGACTTTATTTTTTTCCCCCTAGTCCCATGTCATTATGCTGTAAGATTCCTGTAGATTGACTAGAAATGTAGTAAGAAGTGTCATTCTTACACAGTATTAGCATCTTCTCTAACAAGATATTGTTTAAAATTAACAACAAAGCGAAAACACCTATCCCCCTTACCTTCCTCAACCATATATTTATTCCTTACTTTACAGATATACCAGCTGGAGAGCTTATAAATCCACCAAAAACTTCTGAGGAAGTGGACAAAGAATCCAGAGAAGGGCATGATCTCTACATTGTGTCACACAATGATTACTATGTGGGTAAGTTCAAAGGTTGATAAGAAACAACATAAAAAGTTCTAATATAAGTAAAGGTACTTGTTCTTCTTTGTGTCTTCAACACATGTTGTATGCTATTTTTTGAGATATAAACTATTTTTACTACAGTATTAGTATAATATAAATTCTTTTTAAAAGTAATGATGTGAAAAATATGCAACTGATAGAGCATGACCTGTTTGTAGAAGTGTAGATCACTTCATGGTGGGTTTATTAGACAGTATAAGAACTTAATGAAGGAGATGGAAGCCTGATTTCTGTTGAGTACTATTTGAAAAGCAAAGTATTTCCAAGAAACTACAAACTCATAGATGCCCTGGTTGCTTATTGAGTTTGCCATTGTTTATGCCATTGAGAGTAATCTCAGGCTTAAAGCCACAGACTGTGAGCTCAACCCATTCCAGTACTTTCGCCTCTGGTTCCTCTCTTTTATCAGGATCCAAACAGAATTTCAGGGCAGCTAGACTTTCTGATGCTGAGCTCAGCATCAAGCTCTAGTTGAAGGAACTTCAGGTTGCTGACTAGCTCTCTGGAATTCCGGTTCCTCAGCCTACAGCATCCTGCCTGTGAGTCTGTCCCGCAGCCTCTGTCTCTGCCCTTCCAGTGGGCTGTGCCTTCACTGCTTCAGCCCCTGGGGGCTGTACTTGTGTGAAGTGGTCTGCTCAGGGATGGTTACCCTTCATCTCATAGGTTTGCACAGGAACAGAGTGACAAATAGCACTCCGAAATGCAATACCTGTATTACTTTTGCAGCCACTTCTGTTTTTCCGAGTTTCATAATTTTCACAGGCTGAGGGACTTACATTACTGCTCTTTAAGATTAGTATAAAAATAAAGTTGCCCATTGTGTTAGTACCTACAGTTTTGTAGGTGTAGGTCAAGCATGTAAGAAACTGCAGTACAGATAATTTCAGTTGTAATACTGTAAATTTTACACGGAGGCAGTTATGTGGAAGTGAAATTACAGTACTGTGTTGTCTCATTGAGAAATTCTACTGCAAGCACTATCGTTACAAATTTATACTATCGGCATAAACTTGTAATTTTATTTCTTGGTTTTTTACTGGAATTATTCTTTATCTGCTTCTGTCTCCTTTATAATTTCTGTCCACAAGGTCATGGAGAAGCCAAGCCAAAACCAGACAGACAGCAAAAAAAGAGTTAACTGTGTGCCCCAGTTTTGAACAATAATATAAAAATTCCATGCTGACATACAGTCAGAGGAAGCCCTTATTAGAAAGCATGCAGCGAATAATAATTTTTGAAAGTTCTAATTACCATTCTTTTCAAAAGATGATTGAAAAGAGCAGGAAAAAACAGAATGGCATTTTTTTCTGTGGGAAGAAATATGTGCTTGCAGCTCACTTACATAGAGTACTTATGTGATATTCTTGCTTGTAAAATGAAGTTTCATATACAAGACTGGAATAATAGATTCATGAACAAGTAAGGTAATACCTTGTTTACAGTGAAGTCAGTGACAAAATTTCCATTGAAGTCAACAATGGAAGAAATCTTTTACTGTGAGGGTGGTGAGGCACCAGAACAGGTTGCCCAGAGAAGCTGTGGATGCCCCATCCCTGGAGGTGTTCAAGGCCAGGCTGGATGAGGCTTTGAGCAACCTGGTCTGGTGGGAGGTGTCCCTGCCCATGGCAGGGGGGTTGGAACCAGATGATCTCTAAGGTCCCTTCCAACCCAAACCATTCTATGATTCTATGAATGTAGCAAGAGTATATCTGAAAGTGCAGCATCTCAACAACTTTTTTTTACTTTTAGCTTTTTTTTTAATTTATTATTTTAACAAATAGTAAATTAAATTATATATAATCTCCACTCTGGTATGGACATTATAAAGTGATTTGTTTGCATGACCCTCGCTACTTAGGCTATCTGGTATTTTTTAATTCATTCTGTTGGGCTTGTCTTTGGTCAGACATAAAAGGACATACAACTGTTTTACCACTGAAGCAGTTTGTGCCTTTTATGTTGCCTTTTATCTTCACTTTTGACAATGAGGTTATTCCTAACTACTTAATAAACATGGCAAATGCAGATTAGTTTTCTTTGATTGAACAGAATTGTTAATTAGTTATTTGCTTTTATTTATTCATTTTTTTGTCTTTAAAAATAAGATACTTAGTACATTTTTCTTCCTGAGGTGTTTTATACAGGTTGAAATGCTTACTTTCTCCACAGGGGAAGCAATAAATAGGAAGTATGACTCGCCAAACTTCAGCAAGTCTTTTGTTTATGGAATAGAAACTCCTCACTTTGAAGATGGGCGAAATGTATCCAAATCCTTAAACTGGCTCTGTGATCTGCAATCGTAAGTTGCAATGAATTAACTAGTTAATTAGTGGTGTGAGTTCTCAAGAAGAGTGTTCATATTGGAAGATAATTTTACATCTCAAAATCCCATCCTTAGCTATATTGAACTGAATAGAAAATGCAAGGAGTAATTTTCAGAGTAGTTTGTCCAAAATCAGTTCTACCATAGTATAACAGCACTTGGCATGTATTTAGCATGACATAAAGACATCTTTGATTTTAAATAGATTTTTAAATAAGATTTTTCAATTACTAAATTTGTGTTTGTCTTGCAGAGGAGTTGTTGTTTCCTTCTAACATATAATAATATTTTTTCATATTATTGAAAAATTATTCAATATTGTTAAAGAAATATATGTGTGAGAGTTCTTTTCATGATTTGTAGGAAGAGAGCAGCAAAAATCGTATCAAAACAAAGTGATGATTTCAAGGAAAAATTTCAGCCTCAGCTTGGAAAAGTCCTTGATCCGTACGTAAGCAAAGATACCTTCCAAAACCAAAATTCACTCATGTTTACCAGGTCTCCAATGTATTTTTCTGTCTTGGGTAAAAATTATAACTGTGCATTACTCAATTACAGAAAGGGACTTTCTACTTGCCCTAATTAGGCTGATAAGTATGCAAGTTTCTAATGAGGGCTGTATTCTATCTATGTGGTGAAGGTAAATCTTACTGCTTAAATAATCTATATCTGAATTGATCCAATTTGCACCAAGCAAATTACAAGCACACTGTTTTTTCCTGTCATTTGCAGTTAGGAAGGTTTGAAAGAACTGAAATGTCTCACCTATTGTTCGGGGATTACACATTTTACTTTGATGCTATTTTTTGTCATCTTTGTTACGTCACCTGTATCCTTACTTTGTTAGTTCATTGGAAAAGGATGTGGAACTAAAGTGTTATTATCTAGCAGCATGTATCAATCTCAATTGAATCATTACGATGCTTCATAAATGTCAGGTGATCTGGAACAGCTTTTTAATTTCACAAAACAGTGCTTATGAAGATCTACAGTAGTTCTAAGGTACAGTGTGGTCGGGATCCCACTGTGCTACAAATCTAGGATTCCTGAATGTATACAAAGACTGCCTTTGCAGATGCTCTAGATTTCTGCAAAATTCTATCTGAAGACTTGCAAACAACATTATTGACTTTGGCAGCAAAATTTAATTTTAAGCTCAAGATCATGGGTTTAAGTGACTCTGGAGAACTATGCCCGTAGCAGCTATAGGGAGTGAACACAAATGTGAGCCAGTTTCTCCTCTCCCTTTCACTGTGTCCTAGCTTACTGTGACATAGACCTGGAATGTGAGCAAGATGAGACAGTATGATCAGTCAGGGAATATGGGTTGCAGTGTAAGCTGAAACCCAGCACTAACAATCCAAGACAGATACAAGGTAACCTAATTTTACTTAGTGAATTTTACACCAGCCACATCCTATGTGTAATATGAAAATGATGAAAGGAAAATGCACATAGCAGTTTTCAGCTTACATTGCTTCCATCTCTCAGGGGGTTTTTTTACTTGTTTGGTATTTTAGAACAAAGTGCTGATTCTCTTTTCCATTTTGATGGAGATTTCTGATTCATGTAACAGTTCTAATCATCAAACATAGAGATAAAATGAACATTGCATCTTTTTCAAATTAAGAAATAAACAGTTTAATGTCACCAGCAGCATCTTAATTTTCTGGTAAATAAAACTGGGCCAAGTTTTTCAGGTGGATATTGGCTTGGATGCTGTTTTTGTTAGACACAAAATTGCATGTGAAAAAGCATGTGAGATGTGATTCAATTTTTCTACTTTAGCCAAAAGTAGTAGTTATTTTGAGACATTGTTTCAGCTGGAGATCTGGTTTGTCCTTAACATTCCTTTTATTTGACTAGTATGTTCTAAGGACTTTTCTCACTCTTTTCTGTCACTGTCTTAGAAAAAAAAATATTTTAGCATAGAGTGCTTTTTCTTTTAATGAGGATTACTGTTCAAAGGTTTAATGTTTACATTTGGTTGCATTATATTGCGAACAGCAAATGTTCTAAACAGGTTTATGAAGGGATGCTTTTCTGGAATGGTAACTTCAAAGTAAAATACTGATAAATTTCAGATGAACTATGTGTATCATCCCTAATTATATAAGAGATGATCACATTTTTGTTTTTATAATACCATAGGCTTTATTTTGGCTATTAATGAACTATTTGACAATTAACAAAAAAATGTGCTTATTGACAGTATAGCAGAAACTATGAATGTTCCCCCAGGCCATACGTTTGGAATGTTACTCCGTCCAGATGAATATGGTAAGTTCAGGGGAAGAATAAAATTTTATCTTGTTGATGAAATTATGCTGAAGGAATTACTGTTGGTTGTGTAGTATATAATTTTCCTAAAATCTTAGAGGCAAGATACAAAAACGTAGCAGTGACACTAAATTTTTGGAGGGAAAATTTGAGAAGAATTGAAATTGCTAGTGGAAAAAAAATGAATGCCAGAAATAAGCTTCAATTTTTGGCTGTTCATGGGGGTTTTTGTGGCTGGTTCTTTTTAAAGCCTCTGTATCTGAATGTAAACAAAATGGGAAATGGCAGAAAACTCATATTGACATCTGAGTGACAAAGTTAAAATGGCTATTTAAATCAATTATGTCATTAATCTCAATGTTTTTTCCAGCACTTCTATAAAAAGAGTAAAAGTAACAAGCAATAAATAAGAATCATAAGAAGTTTTTGAAGGTAGCAGAGAGACAGAAAACCAAATGAATATAAAAAATTATTAATTTTAATTATGACAACATTTTGAAAGCTAATCAACTCAAATAGTCAATGTTGGGATTGATGGTGTTTTAATGTTATGCTAAATGGCTAGGGAATACAGTGAATAGTTAGGCAGCAAAAAATATAAGTGGCTCAAAGTTATTTAATTAGTCAAGACCAGAGAAGGCTTGTTCAAATTCTGCATAAACTTTTATCCATGCTTTACTATGTAGAGTAGTAAAGTTAAATACTTTAAATTTGTAGGTATGCTTGCTCTGTAAGGAACAGCAGAAGCAACTGAGCAAGAAAATTCATTATTAACAAGTAGAAAATAATGCATGTACATTGCTGTTAGAAATGGATTAGGTGAGCTACTGCTATTTGTTGTTATTGTATTGTGAATGAACTTCTTGCACTTTAGAAAGTGACTTTGGTGTCTTGGGGATTTGGATGAAGACTGTAGCTCAGCGTGCCAAAGTTTTTAAGAATACTAATAAAATTAGGATATGTAGAAAATGGGAAGAGTAACACAAAAATAGTACATTGTCTTTCTAGAAATCAACGGTATATAATTATCTGAAATATTACATTGACTTTTCTGATGATTCTTGTAAGTATCCTGGAATTAATATGTTCTTTTGCTCTCAACTATCTGGACATCAAGTAACTCTTACTGCTGTCAGAAGCTTTTGGAAGCAGAGGATGGATTTGTGAAGCTATATTAAGATGTTTCAAAATTTTTGATATTAACTGCATGCAAGTAGAGAAATCATCATATGGACCATTTGATCTTTTAATAAAATGGCCATATCAGATGTTCAGCAGTGCTGAAAACCGGCATCTCAAAACTGAAAGTCGTCTTTTCCTTTAAGCCATTAAAAAAAAAAAAAAGTCTGTTTTCTGTATATGCACAACTAATTGAGAAAGTGATTATTTTTATAGGAGTTGGTGATCATCTTCACTGCCGGGTTCCACGTGAGTTCCTCCGTGGTAAAGACAGAGAGCGAGCTGTCCTTACTGCAGTTCGGCAAATTCTGAAAAAAGCTAACTTTGAGAATTTTGACGTGTTACTAGAAGCATTCAGGCATTACGATAAGGTTAGTGCTTTGAAAAATATAAATGTAAAGGAGTGTGTGACAGCTCCTGTGCTGTGAGGAAACACAAGCATAGCAAGGCAAATATAGACAAAGACTATAAAGACAATGTAATTTCTTAGTTATTGTATGTTTAATATACTGTGATATGCTATGGAATTAAACACAACAGTGTTTGGAGCCTTTCACAACAGTATTTGGAGTACCCAAGTTAACAGCAATCAAGAAACATGTGAGCAGGAATAATCTCTGCATTTTTTGCTCTTCACAATTTAGTATTCTTAAATACAGTTGAAGGGATTATGTTCATATTTTCTTCTAAACTGTACTTTTTGACTGAGTCACCAAGCATCAGAATTTCATATATTTTCTTTTTTTCTCTCTGGAAAAAAAATATAATTGACATTTCATATGTAACCTTAGTTGTAACACTGATGCCTTACTTTCAAAGGAAATCTTGTCTTTGCCTCAACATTTATGATTAGATTGTTATCTTGTCACAATACCCTGTCACACTGACTTTCTTTTTATCTCAAATCACTGTGTTACTACTTGAAAATTATTTATTGACACTTTTGTATTCAGATTTTTAATTTCTAGATCACTCAGGGTTTCTTTTTGTACTCAGCAATGTTACTCTTCTAAAATGAAGTGTGTGTGCCTGGTGCTATATATCTCACTCTGTATCGGTATATATAAACATGTTCCTTTTGGTGGAGCCTTTTTATAATGGCTGTTATAACAACTGTTTTATTTATAATAGAATGGTGATGGAATGATAGACAAGGACGACCTGCGAAAGTCCTGTTTGCAGCTTAATCTGAATCTAGATGATGAGCTCCTGGATTCCTTATTTGACTATTGTGATTTGGATAAAGATGGTCAGATCAATCACCTGGAGTTTGCAAATTTTCTTAACTGGAAAGACAAAATGTCTGTTAAAGAGTTTGAAGAAAAAATAATTACAAAAGGTAGATGACAATGCTGGGAAATTGTGGAGATGATCTTGTTCAGCTGTTGAAAGGAGAGTTCTGGTGTAGGCTAGGTGCTCCTTTAGAAGGGTGGGATTTAGAGACTGCATTTAGCCCTTGCCTGCCACCAGCAGAGCCTCTGATACAAATGTATTTCAGAACCCTGGAGTTCTGTGTTGCATGTTGAGGATGTCCCATAGATCAGGAGAAAGTAAAAAATCTCATGGAATCATTATCAGATATGCAGATTAATTATCTTATGTTATGTACTTTATAGTTTTTCAAGGATTCAAGCAATGTTTTTTACTTCTAGTCTATAATGTGCTGATAATAAACCCTGTCTGTACCATAACTTTTGTTTTTAGGGAAAAAACGAGATGCTCCTGTTCTGCCTGAAGACACAAAGACAAATGATGAGACACTGCTGAAGCAGGAAGTTCTTGTGTTAAAAGAACCGGGAAACTCAGAAGAGACACTAAAAACACTTACAAGATCAACAGATCGTGTATTTACGAATTATCAAACAACTTCTTCTCAGTATAATGCTGTAGTAGGTGGTCTCCCAACAACCTGTAAGTACAGTGGATTGTACTTCTCACTTCTGAGCATTATTTAAGACAAAATCAGGAACAAGCTTAAAAAGTATTGCTACAGGTTCTACGAGTGTACAATAGTGAATTAATTTATCTAAATGGAATTTGTTCAGGATTGTGGCTTGGAAGTAGGCATGGCTTGGATGTTTTGCGTGGTTAATCCACTCAAAACATGTAAATTAATCCAAATGTTTTTGAGAAATTATGCTAGTAATTTTAGGAGAATAATATCTTCTTGGAATCACCTAGAAATGCTTTTAGCTGGAAGTACTGGATAAGTACTAGAATACCTTTCCTGTTGTCATGCTTCATGATGTAGCTGAAGCTAGAAATTCTAGAAATATGAAAAAGAGAGGGGGGAATAAAGTTATATAAATTCTTATTGAACCTATTTGTTCTCATTTCACACAAAATGTTCTATCCTTTCTGGCACTATCTTTACACACAGGCTTTTCCATGCTACCTGTTGATTGATTTCCACAGGTTATCCTGTATGTGGTGTTCCAACTATTCGTTCAGATATTCCTGCTCCTCAAATTCGCTGCATCAGTGACAGAACTAATTATGGTGATCAGGCCAATATTTATGCGTTATTAACCCCTTCTGTCTTCAGTCAAAAGGGAGTATATGAAAGAGACCTCTTTAAAACAAGACCAAAGGCAGAGGTATAGTGCATTTCTTCACAATATTTTTCCAAGATAAATGTACCTTAAGCCATGTGGGAGTGGAAAGTTATATTAGCAAATAATCAGGTTGTAAAATTCATTGTTGCAACGTTACCATCTTTCTTTACATCCATTCAGCTATCTGAAAAATATGTACTCTTCACATTAAAAATTATTCACGAAGGTGGTAGATATTAATTTTATTGAGATCCAGCTTCAATAAGTAATAAAAGGAAATATGTCAGATTGTTGCTACTCTGTCAAATGAGGCTTGGTAATTAATCTAGGGCTTAAGAGTCCGTGACTCATCATTTCTGCAACGTGAGAAGAGCAAAGCAGTTGTGAAATTTCCATCCTTGCACATATTCAAATTTCTGAGCAAGGTCCCAAGCAACATAGTTTAATGGTAAAGTTAGCCCTGCTTTGATTGTGTGGTTGGATGGATATCTCCAGAGATCACTTCCAACACAAGTTCTTCTATGATTCTATGAGCAGATGCCTTAAAAAGCCCCACAAGAGGATTTTTACAGGTATGTAAGATTAGTTTCTATCACAGGGGGATGTTCAGTGGAAAATTTCACCCAAGGTGTCTCTCCTCAAACAAACTTGCAGATTTTTGTTAATAGCAAGTTCAGCAAACTGCTTGAATATACCTTTTAAGTGCTCTGCTGAGTCACAGTTGTAGGCTCAGATCTATAAAGGGCTTGTACAGTGGTAGAGGATATAGGGAATCGCACACCAGTGCTGTGCCAACTCATATTTCTGAAGAGAAAGATAGGACATGAGAATGTAAGGACTTGCTTGGGGACTCTATAATTTTTCTATCTGATATCTCTGGGGGTTACTACCACTCTGTTATTTCAGCTGAGTTCCTCCTGCATAAATACTAAAACCACTTTGCTTCTTTTTCATTATTGTTTACTCTTTTGCTTCTACATTTGTATGCATTTTCTACTGAAAAAAATATTAAGAGAACTTAATTACCTGAAATACAATTTATGAGACCATTGTAACAAAATGTGAAATTCCAATCTGAAATGAAAAAAGAAGCCTTGACAACCTCTCCCTCTCTACTAGTTGTTATATTAAATATTCAGTCACATTTGAAAGTGAATCTGGAACTTGAGTATATATTTTATAGAAAATATTGCTAATTAGTGTCTGGGGATGTAAAGCATGTGTTGTCATGTTCTATACATATCCATAAATGGCTTGTCAGAATGTTGTGTACATGAGTATTTACCATTTTATAATCTAGCTCTGAAGCAGGAATTCCGTGTGTGCATAATGTAGCTCACAGTAAATAGAATTCATGCTTCACTGAGAAGGCCATTATACCTGTCAAGCACTAGACAGAACTCTTCTCTGAAGTTATAATGTGGCCCGAGATGCCATGCTCCATTGTAGACTATACAGGCTACAGTACAGAACCACCTCTGAGTGTGTTAAGTCACCCTATGTTCATGAAATAGTCTGTTGATAGTCTTTGATTTATTTTGATATGGAGCATTAATATTTTCAAACATGTAATAGCTAATGAAATTATTATAAAAAAGCCCAGAGTCATTTAATACTACCAGTTTTTGTATAGGCCTGTAGAAATGAGTGTGAATTCTGACTATAAAGCAGTTTCATGTTACAAAAGAACAAAATAGTTGTAGGTCCTGCTGTTTTTTTCACTGGAATTTGTCCTAGTCCATTGCAGAGAATAGAAGTTGTTATGTAACTGAGTAATAGTGTGTAATTTATATCCAATGTGATCATGTTGATAATAGGTAAGGGTCAGTTTAAGCCCATCTGCACACTTGACAGTCTGTGGTTTAGTCAGTGATTATTTTGTGGCTATTGATGAGCCAGTACAGAGTTGTATTTTAATATGGTGAAGCAAAGTTATGAGAACATGTAGTCCTTTATGGTCCCTGCAGTGGTATCCTGTAATGGGATATTGCTTTTAGTTTAACTTTTAAATTTCACTAGCTTCTTGAAGACATTAGGTCGAATCTGGTTTGTTTTTCTCATGAGTAATATTGATTTAACTGAAACAACACGCATGCTTAAAGAAACAAAATTTAGTCCATGTTTTCCTCCTGTAATTTCAGCTGGTATAAACTGTCATAGATTTATTGGCTAAGATGAAGCTGCAGATTTGCTGTACTGTGTATCAGGCCTATATTTATACAAAAGACAGTTTTAGAGAAAAATGACAAACAAGGTTGTTTTGACTGTGTTTAAGGTCTTTATCAAAACACACATAAAATCTTCAGAGCACACATGTAACATGTATGCGCGCGCGCACACGACACAATTTGTAAAGCCAAATGTTTGCTAATACTAACACAAGCACAAGTCATGTCAATGTTCCTTAAAGCCACCTTACTCTAATGAGTCAACAGGTCAGTGTACTGAGGCATGTAGCAGGAAGCATTCAAGTGAGAAAATATGGGAAAAAAATATTTCTGGTGAATTACTTTGGTGTAAAATTGTAGCAAGACCCAAAGCTGATGTGAACCATTTCCTTTTAGTCGCCTTACCCATTTATCTGTACCAGCTGAAGATCTTGCATATAGTATTCTTGCTGTGAAATGCAAACAGTAATATAATCTGTTTTATGTCGATACCTGCAAACAGTACAATGGATAAACAGGACTTGACTTAGGGCTCCTAAAAAATGTTTACTTTTGCCTGAATCTTCTGTGTTTGATTTTTTCTAATGTTGAAGTTGCATCAACATTACTTTATTAACTAAAGACAATTTTGTACATCACAGCTTTCATCCCAATAAGATTCACATTTACTTAAACAGAAACTTATTTGGTTAGGATTGCAGGATGTGGTCTGTAGCTTTTATTTAAGAGTGGGAAGGTACTCTTTGGCAAATAGAGATTGCTAATATATGTAAAAGCCAGACTCTATATAAAGAATTGCATTGTTTTGTAGATTGCACAAATTCTCCACAACATTGGCGTGGACATTTCAGATGAAAAGTTTGACAAAATATGGAAGCAAGCCTGTATGAAACATCAGAGAGAAGAGGTTTGTGTAGAAAGCATTAGGAATGTACTGGATGAGATACATGGATCACACACAAGAACCAGTTGCTAATTCTAGTCTTTGGGCATTGCATTTATTTAAATTGACATCAGTCATAATTCTGATGCTGAATAAAATAAACATTTTCAATAACCTGTCTTTACAGAACTGGAATTGACTGTTTTCTTTCTGAATAGTGAGTTCACCACATATATGTTAATCTTACTGCTATCATTGCAGTTAGTAGGAACTGATATCCATAGGAATAAAAGAGGGTACAGCATGTTTGTAAATAGGATGCAAATGTTTATCTTATATTCTTTATCTTCTTTGCAGTGTTTCTAAGCCTAAATAATGATACTTTGACCATGCATATATTTTGCATTTTTGAATTTATTTTTTTCCCTTACAAACTGAAGGACACTTTTGAAAGTACTTAAGATACATGTTTCAGATATGCAAGACCTCTTAAAGATTATTATCATAGAATGGCATCTTGCCTTGCTTCTAATGTTCCATAATTTCTTGTCAATGAAATGGTAGCTAAAAGAGATCTGGTTCTGGTAAGTTATTTGACATGTTTAAAAATTTGTGTAAGAAAGTGCTTTACAGTAAGATACTGAGGAAACTACATAGTCATGGGTGTGGGATCTAAAGTGTTGTCATGAAATAAACTCTGTAAGAACCAATTGATTAAGAAGTGCAAAAATAAATGCCCAATTGTGTGGCAGAGGGCTCATATTCGTTATGCTTATTGCTATTAGGTAGTAGTATTCAGCTTCCACAAACAAGAAAAAAGAATGGATATTTAGATGTGTATGTGCACTTTACATAAAAACACAGGCTAGGTAGTCAGAAAAGTTTGGGATGGCTTTCAGAGAGCTAGCTAGTCACCTGTGACCAATGCAATTTCTTGGAAGAGGGATCTTCATAAATAGAAGACATTTGAGGATCATTATGGAAATCTCAATTAATATATATGAAGTCCAATAAGAATAAATAAAGGAAAGCAAGTAATACTAAGTTCTGCAACTGTGAATTGGAGTGTTTGCTCTTCACCTACTGTACTGAGCTTGGTATAAAACAAATAGAAATTTTTTGGTATTAATACTGAGAATGATTACTTAGGCTTTTTCAAATTAATTGAAAAAAAAGATCCTTGCCCAACATAATCTTGACATACAGGGTTTCAGGAAGGATATTACTTCGGCACCTATTGGTGCTTTAAATACCTTAGTAAGATTTGGAGGATGTTGCAAAATGTTTTACAGATTTCTACAATGTAAGTAAAGGTTCTATGTATCTTAAATACTAGGAATGCATCTGTAGCGCCATCTTAAAATTTCATTGTAACGCTTTGCTCATGTGATCGTTAAGATTTCTCTTTTGCCAGAGTTCTAGGAGCTTGTAATTTACTAGCTTGTTACGTGAGATCTGCAAGCCAGAACCTTTTGTACATTATTACTCTAGCATTATTAGTAGCTGTCTTACAGCAAGTAGGAAGAATTTGCTTTCTGGTATCCCCAGGTGGTAGAAAAGCTGCTTGATGAAGACAGCTTCTTTCCTGCTGTGAATGAAAGTTGTTCTGTGCTGTTGTTGCCTTGCCTTCCCATCCTTCTGGAGCTCTGTGCATGCACTGGTAAGAATGCAGGAAACAGACTGTGACTGTTGCAAGTGGAATCATGACAGAAAGATGAATGTACTGCTAATTTCAATTGAATTTATTGTCAGGATTTCACTACCTCCAGTGACATTCTCTAAAGCTCCTCTTCTGCTCATATAAGGTGGGAGATGAGAATCCTTTACCTTTGTTGTGGTGTGCTTCCAAAAGCATTGGACAGAATTACCTTTAAAAAAAAATATTGTTTTTCTCCTTCAATAGAAAATTTTAGATGAAAGATTTAGGCCCACTTCAGGAAAAAATGAAAAAAAAATAAATCAGATCTTTATGTGTGTGTGTGTACGTGAACGTGTATATGAGATCTGCTGTGTTTGTTCAGGAGCTGGAAATTCCGTGTACCCTGTATTTTGAATTTACTGTAAAGGTGCCTACTTTCATTCCTCTGTTTTCAGTAGAATCTTTTCCCTTGTCACTGAAATGGAATTAATGTTGTTCTTGGGCAGACTGCCCAAATCATGGTTTAGTTTTTTGCAAGTGTGTTTCTAACCGCAGACTAAAGATTTCCTTTTGAGCGTGGCTTTAAAATGAACTGTAAGTGGTGTTCACCTAAACTTACCTCTTCTGAAGCTTTAAAGGATTAATCACTGATCAGAGCTGTAAATTCTGCTTGTAGGTGCTTGTTTTTCATCACAACATACATAGGAGGCTCCTGAAAGATTTAATAGCTGTGACACAGACAGCTACTTCTGTGGAGTTTCCCAGTCCTTTTGTTTCCTTTTGTTAAATGCTTTATGCACACAGAGTCTTGGTGCCGATTTCTGTATTTCATTTCTGCTTGACTTCCCAACATGTGTGAATTCAATGATGTATTTTTAGACTGCAAGTTGTGTTTTGCGATTTTTATGGTTCCCTAATATATTCCAATTGACAGAAAATAAAAAGGTTGCTTGCTTCTATATTGCAGCATGATTGCCTTTACGTAGGTACAGAGTTGATTTAATGAGGACAGCACACTACCTTTCACTAACCTGTAGGCCATATCCAAGGCAAAGTTTTCCAGAAAGGGTTTGCAAAACAACCTTCGCTATGACTCAAAAGCAATGTGTTCTAAGAGCAAATGTACAAATTTGGCTCTTGAGTGAATTTGTTCTGTTAACAGTTATATTGCAAAAGCACAGATATTGTAAATATGTTGACTGAGACTTTGTGGACAAAACTAGTGAACAGCAAATCCTGACAAAGGTAATATTTTGGTAAAAATCTGTGAGTCGTAGACATTCTGGGCCAAATTTTCATCATAGAATTTTCATAAAAATAGACAGTGGATAAAAGACACAGCACATTCAGATATTTGTCCACTACTTCTCCATTAATCTCTGTTTCACTGCAGTGATTATTCTAAAGAATAGCATATTTAATAGTTATGCATTTTTAACTGGTTTTGTCAAATGAATTGAACTCCTCTTAAGTTCATCTTAGAGCAGATGTATTGGTTTCCAGGGACAGAGGGGGGAGGTTTTCCTTTCTACAGAGGTAGAGGCCAATGTTTTCTTCTCCCCCAAAGCAATGCCAGGGATACTGGCTTTCAGTACCTGAAGACACTTGTCTTTAAAAGATAAAGCTGAAGACTTGAATGTGCAAATTATTTGTTATGAATTCTGTATTTCTGGCTCTTATCTTTAGAATGTGAATTTTAGCCCAGATAAGTGAACAGCTAGTATGACTTATTTGGCAGTGACTTGTACTATGTGAAGCAGATGTTGGACTCAATTATTCTTTTTACTGTTGTCTGATGGGAAAATTTGTCTGTGCCAATGACTTGTGTTTGAGATGCTGGAAGATCCAGCCCACTGTCTTCCATAGAACTGTATGTACAAATAAATGTAGACCTTGCCTGGATATTGTTACTACATGACTTTAATGTATGTCTTAGAGATCAAGTATTTTTTTTCAGTAAATTAAGAATTCCTGGTTTTCAGTGATTTACCTGACTCAAGTAAATTTCCTGGTCCTGGAACTCATTCTTAGAAGTGAATGGCCAGTTTTGTTTGTTTGGGGGTTTTTTTGTTTGTTTTTAAACAATTACTCTGTGTAATTTTTTGGGGGCTAGATAGAATGCTAATAACCCTCTTTGCTAAGAACAATACTTCTAATGGATATCTAAGCAGAAAAGGAGGTAATGGGGCAAAGTGCCCAGAAATACGATTTAAGTCTTTATCCTGCCAACAGATATGAATAGGTAGGATATTTTTGGAATGGCTTATACAGCCTAATTAGTAGATGTTTGCCATTAGGAGGTATTTCTTTGGAATCTAGTTATTTGCATGGGACAATCTGTCATTGAGCACCATCTGCCTGTGTGGTTTCACCTTGCTGAATGGCCAGAATGCTTTTTGAGCAGATGGGTATGAGTTTAGGTATGCCGAAGAACCACGAGATAACTACATGGTTGAGTAGTTGGGATAGGATATGTATTTCTTTATTACTCTTTAAAACTATATTAATTTTGAAAATGCCAACACAGATTATGCAAACTTGTAGGAAAGATTTTGGCATCTTTGATCAGGATTAATCTGTAAAGGGAAAGGTAGTTAAACCATTATTCGCTGTGTTCTGATTTGCAAAGATAGGTGCTTGTTGATTTCTGCCAAATATGTGTGGCCTCTCTGAGCAGACTGGAGTAGAGAGAGAACTTGTGCATCCCAGGCCCACATTCCTGACTTCCAAATGTCATAACCATGGAAAATTTATATTCCTTGGGACACAAGTATGTGTAGCTGTGTTCTAAAATTATACTCTAGGAGATTAAGTGTTAAATTCTATAATACCTTAATAGTAAATCCTTGGTGTATTCTGTGTGTTTTCAAAGCTCACTCTGCATTCCAGTACGTAGATGTAAATGAAAATGGCAGTCCAAGACCTAATCTGAAAAAAAGAGAAGGGCCAAAATCACTGACAGATTTTATTCATGTGGCTTTCATAAAGTATCTCTTCCTCTGGTAATAGGGATCATACGTTCTGCATCTTAAAAAAAAAAAAGATAAGGTTCTACCACACAATCAACAAAAAATCACAAAAGCAGACAGAGTAGTTAAGGAAACATACTTCTAGAAGTAACTTTTCTATAGGCCTTGAAATTTTCTGCAGATTCTACTAAATGTCAAGTATTGCTTTGAATCTGCAGCAGAACAAAGGACTGAAATAAGAGCAGTGGGGTTTTCAAATGGTACCAGTTAATCATGGGGTGATTTTGTTTTCCCAGTAGTTTTCAACAGATTATAGAGAGAGACGTACACAATCCTGTATGAATACTTTACTAAAAATGTGTCCCCCCAGTGAGCAACAAGGCTTAAATGCGAAACAAAATGTAGACCTATTTTTTGCTAGTGAACAATGAATACAACGTAAGATTGTAGAGTGTCTGTACAGGGCAGCCCAAAAATTCTGTCTA